CACAGGAAATAGGTAGAACGATCTTGACCGGTTCAAGCTTTTTTTCAGATTCTTGAATCATAATTCATGCATTATTTGTAAATTTTAATATTGGATTTGTATTCATTGTATCATTCTGAAGCTAACTGTGTGCTTTGATTGAGTTTTTATACACCATACGCGATTTCACCATGGGCAATTATTAGGGTTACCAAGCTGTGAAATTGGGCGTTTTTGCATATTGTAAAATTAGGACACCTCGATGCCATGGTTGAAATCAGGGAGCTTGGACGGTTCTAATACACACCCCGCGCCCAATTTCTGATCCAAGACGGCCTAATCGCTATTTTGGAAAGAAGCATATTTTGGGGGGGGTTTAAAACCCACGCTAACCTTCTTTTATTTTCAGGGTTCAACGAAGAAGAAGGATATGTGGCAAGCAGTGGTTGGTTGATTTGAATCCAACGCGCGTTTTTTTGTTTTTCTATGCCACTGACTCATTTTCCATTATAATATTTATGTGTCATGTAATAAACAAAGTGTTCAGATGGCTCAAATGGCAGGCGTGTGGATTGGTAATCCCTGGGACCTGGGTTCGAACCCCAGGTCCCCCTCCCTTTCAATAAAATTTTTTCTAACATCATTCTATGTAGCACAATCCCTGAAGGTTCACCATACTCTCCATATCTGGACTCACCACGCGTATAGCAAGATCAATCCAAAGGCACTGATTGGAAGGACACCCTGGGCGTTAGTCAACACGCATGCATGCCAGCACAAAAGTCAAACGAGGCCATGAGCTTAATGGGCCTGAATTACTGAACAAAACCTCCAATTGGGGACAAACCCCCCATGGTTTGCCTTTCTCATTCTTTTCTCATATTTTTCTATTTTTGTTTTAATTAGTTTTTCAATTTAATTCCTTAAACCAATTTATTTTCATAAAAAACATAAAAACAATATAAAAATCAGAAAAAAGACAAAAAATAAGTATTTTTATTTAATGTTATTTTTTGTAAATAAATATCATTAATTAATTTTAGCTTTTTAAATTAGGTTTAATTCAAACATTTTTCTTAATAAATTAAAAATTTGTAGAATTAGGGTTTTAATCAATTTTCATCCTTTTTTATTTTCTTTTCACTAATAATCAATTATTTATTTTTATAAATCAAATTGCCATTAATTAATTAATTTAATTTTAGGTTTAAGTTTAACATGTTTTCTTAATAAATAAAACTTGTAGAATTAGGGTTAATTAGTTAATTTCATTTAATTCATATAAAAAACCATAAATCCAAAAAAACCTCAAAAAAACAATTTCTTTTTCATTTTAATTTCATTAATTTAATAATCATAATTTAATTTCATTAAAAAGGGTCCAACGCCCTCGCTTGCGATTTTTTTTTATTCTCTTTGCGCGTTTTATTTATTTTACTTCTTTTAAATATTTATGTAATTCTCCCAAAGCCGTGTAAATTATATTTCTCGCACGCTTCTTTATTTTTATATCAAATCGGGTCCTGGATTTTAATTTGGCGATGTGGACCCGCGCCTTTGTAATAGTTTAGGAACTTTTAATTTCCGCACTTTTTAACTGTTAAATAAATGCATGCAAGAATGAATGACAAAATAAAAATAACGCGTAGATCACTATAACATGACAAGACAAAAATAAACGAATCTGACACACGAATCACACACCACCCCTAGGGTACGCCTCACTGTTGCCTTACCTCGAAAGGTGATCATCAAGTAGAAGATGTCTTAGTAAGTCCTCATGATCCGGGAACCTGGCATGAGGGTAGCTTCTAAGGTGTCTTCCTATTACTCTGGTGATCACCATGTCCCGAACTTCGAATTGACCCGAACACTTCCAACGGTGGTGCTACCTACCTCTCAATGGTGGGATGGCACTATTTTAAAGGACATTTACACAGACGAATTCCTTAGGGTAGGTAGATGACTCGTAGATACTTGCTCTAATTTCAAAACAAATCAAAAATACTTTTCACACCGACACCTTTTCGAAAAGCTTTCGAAAGCAATTTTTTCAAACACTCTTGAGGACTGATACAAGAGTCGAACTGGAATTTTCAAAGAAACTTTTTAAAACCCACAGTTGAAAAGCAAACAAACCACTTTTGAAAACACAAATGAGCAAGTATCTAAGAGCCCATGGATAACCATGGATAGAAAGGGTGCTAACACCTTCCCTTTCTATAACCTACCTCCCGAACCGAGAGCAATCTCTATAAGGAATTTTTCTGTGCTTTTGTCCTTTCCATTTGGAGAAAATAAAAGACGGTGGCGACTCTTGCTTCCGCGACATTTCGCGAACCAGCGTTAAACAGTCAGTTCCAGATCCACCGATCACAGTGACCATCAATCGTGTTTACTCTTCGGCACGTGCTTGATTTGAACTTCAGAACCAACATCCTTGAATGACAATCAGTGAATACTTTTATCATCGCTTCCTCCTTCTTAGAAGGATTGACTTGGGCGGCAACCCGAATTTCAACCAAGCTAGTTAAGTGCTCCACACTAGCTTTCAAATTAGTCATCTCTCTACGGAGTTCAGAAACCTCTTGCTTGATATTCTCCATTGTTCTCTTAGCGCGAGTGTTGTACTGGTGAGACCAAAAGAAAAATAAGACTCGGAAAAAGACCTTTGAAAGTGAAACAAAAAATGTAGAATGATGTATGATGTGCAAAAGAGAGTTTTTATTTGATTTTCAAGGAACTCAAGATATTAAGTTGTAAACATCAAAGTATGAAGGTAGAAGATGAATTTTAAATTGGCTCCAAACATTGATCAAGTTATCATCAAGATCAATCATCCATTTTGGTGGATTAGGGTTTTCGCCCTATCAACACCCAAGATCCATTGAGCGTGACGAAACTTGTGATGTTTACAAAGAAAGACCTCCAAATTCCTTCAAAGTCAAGTGAAAAGGGTTTTATGGATGCATGAATGCATGGCTATGCAACAACCACAAGCAAGGACACAAATAAAGTCGAAAGGTTCAACGTCACGAGCATGGAGTCAAGGTAAGGAACACCCCCAAGGTATGTACTAACGGTTTAATCACACCTGTAGAATAAGGTTCTAAGAGTTCCCGGAGTCTACATTCCTCCTTCGGATATTACCAACGTCTTGATTACTCAATAATCAGTAATATTCTCAAGAGAAACTCATCCGAGCGTAGCATCGCGTAACAATTACTTCCGAATTACTCTGTTATAATCTCCGCGCTACACCTAAAAGGCCAAGATGGGTTAGGGTTCTACGGTTCCCAGCTTCTCTGGCTCCCAGGTCGAAAATAATAATGTCTTCCCGATTACTCGGTAAACAAATATTACGTTCAAAAGGGCCTTCCACTGAGTGGGGGATCTCATGCCTCCTTCTTCGGGATTACTCCCTCAAAGTTAACATGACTATACCGCCCGTCCTATTCCTAAGTGTAACTTAGTCCGGGTATAGGACTTGTCCTTTGTAAATATTATCAACACCCAAATAATCATAATATATACATATAATCAAACAATCAAATAATGATAACACAAATAAAACAAATTAGGCTTAACCCACTTAGGGATGGACCAGCAAGAGGTCAATCTTTCTCCAGCAGAGTCGCCAATTCTGTAGCAGTGAAAATCGGAGATCAAGCTATTAATTAACTTGACTCACAAAAAGCAAGAGTCGCCACCGCACTTTATTATTTCCAAGGGAAAAGGGAAAAGAGCGAAATAAAACCCTAAAATATGCAATGTAAAGTAATATTTAAAAGTAATGAAAATACAATGCATTTTTGAAAGAGATCGAGAGTTCGGGGGTTGGTTATACAATGGGAAGGTATTAGCACCCAATGCATCTACGGTACTCCGCAGGAACCTTTTGAAATATCTGTTTTTGGTTAAAATTGTTTGTTTGATAAAAAATTATTCGTTTGGCAAAAAAATGGGTATGGATGAGATTTTGAAGATACGACGACCTAGTGTCGAAGTTTTGACTTAAAAAAAGGTGTGAGTTTGAAAATCGAATCTTTTAGGAAAATCAACTTAAATTTGGCAAAAATAGTAAATAGAAGAAAAAATGAATGAGGGTATTCGCATGATCGTATTAGATACTCGATGACATGAAGTCAACAAATTAATTCTTTCCCTTGGATTAAGCAAAATAAAATGAACATCAAAATATAAACATTCAGAAGTTCACAAGAAAATAAATCTGACAAAAAAAAAAACAAATTAATGATCAAGAGGCACCGAGAAATTGAAATGACAGAAATATACAAATAAAAAGGAATATAACTAATTATCTAAAGAAGTTATTCGAACTAAATTAAAAATTACTTACTAAAATAATTCTAAACTAATTACAAATTCTAAGGTTATAAAAAAAATCTAGTATTATTGAATTTGATCTAAACTAAACTAAAGTTTTAAAATTTTGTAAGTTAAATCTAGATTAAATTAAAATCCTAAGGTTACTAAATTAAATATAAAACAAATGAAAATTCCAAAGTTACTAAACTAAATCTAAATCAAATAAAATTCTAAAACTACTAAACTAAATTTAAATCAAATAAAAACTCTAAAGTTATTAAACTAAATAAAAATTATAAACTTATTAAACTAATTCTAAATCAAATAAAAATTATAAATTTATTAAACTAATTCTAAATCAAATAAAAATTCTAAAGTCACTAAACAAATAAAATTCTAAAGTTAACTAAACAAAATCAAATAAAATTCTAAAGTTATTAAACTAAACTAAAACAAATAAAATTCTAAAAATTTACTAAATGAAATAAAATTCTAAAATTCTAAAATTCTAAAATAAATCTAAACTAATTCAAGAATTCTAAATTAATATTAAACTAAATTAATTATAAGATTTACTAATATTATTTTTTTATTTTTTATGAAAAGGGAAAAAGATTAATAAAAAAGAAAGAAAGACAAACCTCTTAGCTCAAACAAGTACCAACCCTAATTCCTAATAATAAATAATGAAATTAAACTAAAAAAAAACAAACACACCACACCTTGGGGCGGCGCATGCTGCCAGTAGCTGTTTTTATTTCTTTTTCATTGGCCAAATTACCATAAGCCATGCCATAGTTTGGTCGTGTCTGAAGAGTATGCTGATAACATGCAATAGCTTCTTGAGGCATCCCTAAAGCCTTGTATACATTCCCAAGGTTCAAGTATACATTAGGGAAGGAAGGTTTGAGTTTAACAGCTTCCTTGTAATACTGTAGGGCTCTGTTGAAATCACCAGACTCCATGAACAGACCAACAAGATTTGACCATGCAATAGCAAAGCTAGGTTGAATACGCAAAGCCTCGAGGTAACAACTGTATGCTTCTTGGACCAGCCCTTGAGCTTTCATTAGATTACCCAAGTTGCTATGTGCATCAACCATTAGAGGTTTGATAGCAAGTGCTTGACGGAATGGGTTATAGTTGAAGTGGTGGAAAACGTGAAGCTAGCGAAGACGGTAAGTGAGCAGGTGGGTACCGTGGGGAGCTGTGGCTTTAGCAGCAATTTTGGTCGGGGCGGTTTTCTTGGGTTTGGTTTGAGCGGGTGATTTGGGACGGTGGATGACGGAAAATTGGAAAGAGGTTGTTCGGTTGTATCACTGAGGGAGTTTAAGCTTGCTCGTGAGGTTTGTGTTTGTAACAGGGAGGACAGTTGCAAGATGAAGGCTGATTGTGAGGTTTAATGATGGTGAAAAGATGATGGGTGGTACGGTTGGGAGGGAGATGGAAGCAAGGCGAGTTGAGGCACGATTAAGGAGACGGAGGGCGTTAACAGAGGAGGGGATTGTGGAAATTTGAAGAGGAATGTGATGGTGTTACTCAGTGGATGAGCGATTGAGGTGTGATTCTGCAGAGGTTGCAATCACGTGGAGGCTGGCCGGCGGAGGTTGTTGTTGTTGTTGCGTCGAAGGGTCGCAAAAGGGGTTAATGGCATGTACCGGTGATGGCTAGAGCAGTTGTGTATGGGTCAGAGGTGTTGTTGACGGATATGCGGTGTCAGAAATGTGTCGAGCATATCAAAACAATATCCCTTTCTTCTTCCTTTTACTTTTCCTGCAAAACAAATTTGTAGCATATTGTTGTAACAATTGAAATGGTCATGGTTGTTGTGATTGTTTGGATACCAGTTTGGTAGCTGTTAATTTGTGAAAGTGATAAGTGTATTGGTTTATGTGTTTTTTGTGTTAGGAAGAGAAAAGAGGTGGCTTACTGTAAGTAGAAAAAGAGGAATAGAAAGTTAGAGAGAGATAAGGGTAAAAAGTGATTAATATTGTTTTGGCAATTTTGTATCGATCCTCAATTTCATCCAACAACCAATAGGAATAGAGTATAGTGTAAATAATATATTTTGTGATCAAATAGTCCTTAAATGATAAAAATAACCAAAAAAACTAAATGTATTAAAATTAACTCAATTTAAAATGATTTTTTTGAATATTTTATGAATAAAAAATAAAGACCGAAAATGACCGAAAATGATAAAAAACGGACGAAAATTTATCCGAAAAAATAAAATGAACACATTAAAATAATCTACATGTCACAAAGATTAAAGAAAAAAATATTCAAGAAGTCAAAAATCAAAAATAAAATAATAATAAAAATATCAGACTAAACAGACATTTAAGGTTAAAAACGAGACTTCGAACTGTACCGAAAAAATAAAGCGAGCATACCGTCATAATCTACGCGAAGCGCAGATTCATAAAATGATCGGTAAAAGGTGAAAACTTGAAATATTTTCTCGCTACTTTCCCGCATAGTGTCGAATCGCTTTTAACAATCTGTCTATAAAACCGAAATATTTTATTATCGACATATAAACAACTTGGAGCAGTGCAAGAAAGTAGTAAACAGATAAAAATGAATGAAATGAAATGTCGGGTATTTTACAATTGAAAGACGATGCAAACTTTGATTTAAACTGACTTTTTCTGGTCAACTTAAATACGACTAATGATGCAAAATGTGATGAATGAAGGTATTTACTAATGATTGTGACCAAATAACAAGATATGATACGAAAGTGCGACTAAAACATATTAGGGGCGAAATTCAGGGTGCAACAGTTGTGCCTTGATGAATCAGTCTTCGAGAATCCACAATCAACCGTACTTCTGGCTTGGGAGACTCAAAACCTTAATTGAGGCGTGACACCTGATGCTCTTGATTCAGACCTGTCTCTGTACATGACACAAAAGAAAACATGAACATACACCTTTGTATGCGATTAGAAATTAGTGATACATATGCTAAAAATGTTCAAAACACTTGACAATCTTCGCATAGTCAAAGCTCAAAGGTGAGAGGTTAAAACCGACCGTATTTCGTGACCTTGACTTATCTTAAAAAAATGCAAAAATAAAAATGGGATCTTAGGTCAAAAATTGGGGTACAACAGAACCTCCAAAAGTTTCCTTCGGTAAATGATCTTAGTCCCTCATGACAATTGCTAAAACATCTTACAAGTTGCCTTCTATGACTGTACGATGATCCACGCTTGTCCCTTCACATCCAATGATATGGTTTCTTACTAACTAATGGTAATATAACAATATCTAAAGGAGGAGGAAAAGAACAGAGACTTTCTTTTGAGTAGGTAGAACGCTCGTAGTTGCTCGCTCACAAACATTTCAAAATAAAATATCTTTCAAACACACCAACAATTTCATGAAATATTTTCAAAAGTAAACACTTTATATAGATTCTTATAGAGACGAGAATCATTACAAAGTTTTCCTAAATGAAGGCACTTTTCAAAAATACTTTTAAACAAACAAAACAGATTTACAAAAGCATTTTCAAAAGTGAGCTAGCAACTAAGAGCCCGTAGATAACTACCGATGAAAAGGGTGCTAACACCTTCCCTTTTCATAACCTACCCCCGAACTCAAGAAAATTCTCAAAAGGTCTTTCCTGTTCTTTTCAACCTTTCCTTTATTGGATAAAAGAAAAGTCGGTGACGACTCTTGCTATTTGCAACAATTGCAATAAAATGCAAAACACCCAAGTCAGCTCTCCTGCTGTATCACAGTGATAATGGTGTATACCACCCTTCAACTTGAAACCACTATGGACCCTAAATGTGGATTTAAGTACTTTATTGTTGATCAAACGTTATCTATAACTGGATGACCATAAAGACAGTTGATGGGTACTTCACAAAGCATGCTGAGGGACATGAGTAACCTAGATGGAATTTGTCGATCCTACATAACAGGATAAATGTCTAAGAGCCCAATATTGAACTGGACAAGGGTGACACGGTTTATGCCTTGTGTTCAATATAGACATAAGGGAAAAATCGTAGTTGTACATATAAATATTATCACATAAAGGTTTTGTCATATCACATGACATTTTCGTGACTTGGATAGCAGTGATATGTTGCTAGATACTGCTTACTGTTTATTATGTTAAATGTGTAATTTAATATAATTGCCAACGTCACGAAAACCTAAAGGGTCACACATATAAGGACACGTTGATGAGAGATAGAGTAAATAAGGAATACTGTAAGGTACACTGCACTTAAGTGAAATATGGAATATGGTAATTGTGATACGGTGGCCAGAACCGGGACTGTTTTTAGGAATGCTGGTTTGCGTTTTGCGTTTGTGTTTGCAAAATGTCGCGGTAAGCAAGAATCGCCACCGACTTTTATTTTATCCAACAAGGAAAGGAAAAAAGCACAGAAAAATTCCTTTTTTCGAGATTTTTTGAGTACGGGGGGGGGGGGGGGGGGGGGGGGGGTAAATTATAGAAAGGGAAGGTATTAGCACCCTTTATATCCGTAGTTATCTACGGGCTCTTAGGTACTTGCTCATCATTTTCAAAATTACTTCTTTGTGTTTGTGTGATTTGAAAAGTTATTGTTTTGACTTTGATTTAACTCTTGCTTCTGTCTTCAAGAGTGTAATGAAGTGTTTTTTTGAAAACTTTGTTTGAAAAGGAGTGTAAGTGTGAAAAAGTTCGTTTGGATTGAGCAAGTACTTAAGAGTTAATCTACCTACTCGAAAAAAGAATCGTTCTATGTTCGTTTACTTTAGACAGTGCTATCCCACTATTAGTGAGTAGGTAGCACCGTCGTTGGAGTTTGATGGTCAATTCGAAAGGGACGTACGGTCACTAAAGCAACGTTAAGACGTCTTAGTAATAACTCTAATGTCTTAAGATCAATAATCGAGGCAACAATTCCGAGGCAACCTTTCCGAGGAAACTTTGATCTTTTGGACAAGAGAGCAACCACTAAAACATCCTATACTCAATGACCGTTTACCGAAGGCAACCGAAGTGGGAGTGTACCCTAGGAGTGCGCATGTGCGAGTTATTCAATTTCAAGTTATTTATCTTTGCACATTTAGGGTTATCTAACTGTTTTAAAGTTTTACATACATTCTTGTCATGCATCCTAATATTATACATCTAACAGTTTAATATTTTGCGGAATTTAAAGTGCAGAAATTAAACTACGCTATTACAAGGCTTTGGGTATTTACATAGCCAAAAACAAACCCTTAAAATAAAGCGATAAATGAAAGTAAAAGTCCTAATTTAAACTATTACAACTTGTGAACAATTATATTAATAGGGTAAAAATAAATGATAAAGCGTGCGCGATGAAATTAGAACGAGAGAGAACTAGGGTTTTGAACCCTTCTAACCTAATTAAAAGAAAAATTATTTTTTGTTGTTTTTAATTATTTTTTTAAGAAAAAGGAATTAAGTTTTTAAATTAAATACACAATTAATTAGCTAATTAAATTAATTAATGAAAATAAATAAATGGCCTATTTTTTGTGCTTTTGGTTATTTTAAGAAAAATAAAATATAATTAAGTTATAAACAAAACCCTAATTATTCTAATTATTTTTAATCTATTTACAAAATAATTAAAGTTATCTAAAATTAGAATCTAATTAAATTAATTAATTTATTGATAAAAAAAAACCTATGTCTAATTGGGTGAAAAATATTATTTGTGATTTTTTTGATAAAAAGAAATAATTAATTTTGTTAGTAAAACAAATAAACAAATTAAATAGAAAAAGATGAAAAGAAAAAGAAAAGAGACTTGGGCCTGAGAAGAGCAGTTTGGGGGGGGGGGGGGGGTGCAGATAGCATTTTTCTGGACCCAAAACCAAAGGTCCACGCTGACTTCCAGGCTACCATGCTTTGCGTTGACTAGGTCTCATGATGATCCTTTAATGATGGCCTTTGGATCTGGCCATCTGGCCACTTGGCAGGTTGGATGATGAGGTCACATGATAGACCTTGGCCTTGTGCACGCACTAGATTACCTGAAAGAAAATAATATGAAGAATTGGGGGACCTGGGATTTGAACCCAAGTCCTGAAGCACTTTCTCACCACCTGGCCACTAA